TTAATTTATGGTCAATCTGCCCTCATTATTACCTTTGAACACTTTACTAACTCATTTAAAATCATTGCAATGTTTTTTTCTTCCTTCCCCATTATAAATTCGTTGCCAAAGTTCTGTATCGTTTGTTTCATTTCAAAGGAAACTGTGAATCCGTGACTGAAATAACAGAGACATCGTGTCCCTCTCCCCCGCAACCCCTCGCCAACAAGTTTCGACTCAAGCATGGAACAACAACTTTTTATTATTTGGTAATGTTAAACAATGAGCGAGAGAAAGCTTTTGTGATCGTCACTTTTTTTAACAAAGACAAGAAACTTGACTTTGTTAAGAAAAGATGGAAGACGTAAAGAAAAAATCGATTTTTCATGTATCGCGTTTTTTATAACTAAATGTTTCCAGATACTTTCTTTTTTCAGATATCTTTGTGAAATACAATTAATATTAACATACATGTAATGAATTGAGGATTAAATGACTTCTTCGCATTGAATTGCTTTGCAGATTTGCATGTTTTTTGTCACGATATTTACCTTCACCATAAGAATATCGATTGATATAAAATTCGAAAATCGAAAAATAAATAACTACATAGCGGGTATCAGACCATTAACCTGTAAATAAAAACTTACTAAAATAATTAACCCACAAGCAAACTTAACGAAGTTCTATTGTCTTTGATAATTAGATTATTTGAATTAAAGCACAGCATGGAAAATCAACGACGTTTAATCCATAGAAATGTGGAGTTAGCTTTTAAAATCACAAATGTACGTGGCGATGCCGAGACAAAGGAATCCGAACGTGATCCGAATAGTGACTACGAAACCTAATAACGATTTCTACTCTTTGCTCTTTACTCTTTGCCAGTCTATGGCCGCCTTTAATTATAACAGACTCTCTGTTTATCTCGTACAGGTCCCTTTATTTTGATAATAACAAATTCTCTTTGATTCAGATATATTATAACATCAAAAGCAATACATTAGTGTAAAATGTTAATGTATCCTGAATTATAGGTATATTGTGTACTTCTGTTGCGGGGAATTAGGAGAAAATCTTGTAGCAAATATGCCTATGTAACGCGGGTATAGTGTAATTTCCCAACAGTATAAAAATTTATCAAAATGGGTTCAGTAGTTTCGGAGTCTATTCAATGCAAACAATCAAAACTTTCCTATTTATAACATTAGTAAAAATATAGTATGTCCCAGTACAACGACGAGTAAAACGGTTAGGTTTCTTAAAGACTAT